TTTTGTACTCTAACCATGAGTCACCAATGTTCTTAATGGCATCTAGAATGATTCCTTTCCAGAGGTTTTGAACTGACTATGCCCAGATCCATCAGAGGAATCACTATCTATGGCATCTATGTTATGAAATCTATTTCTTAAATGGTAACACTTGAAATTATTCCTTGATCAGAATGGATATTGTGTTAGTAGGTATGAAAACATGAATCTCATTGTACATCTCCATCAGAGCTTTTGGGCGACCAGGTGTATTGTCCATGAGCAGTAGTGTTTTGAATGGACTCTTTCTCTGAGCAGTAGGCCTCAACAGTGGGCTCAAAATATTCATTAAATCATGTTGTAAACAGATGTGCAGTCATCAGGGTTTTATTGTTCCACTCATAGAGTAAAGGCAAAGTACAATCAGCACAATTTTTAAGGGGCCTAGGATTTAGGGAATGGTAAATGAGCACAGGCTTCAAATTAAAGTCATCAACTGCATTAGTCCCTAACAAGGGACTTGTCCTTTGAAGCTTTGAAACCAGGCACTGACTTCTCTCTAGTTATGAAAGCCCTAGTCACATCTTCAAATAGAAGGCTATTCCATCTACACTGAAAATCTGTTATTTAGTGCAGCCATCTTCATTAATGATCTTAGCTAGGTCTTCCAGATAACTTGCTGTAGCTTCTACATCAGCACTTGCTGCTTCACATTGTACTTTAATGTCACCGAGATGGCTTCTGTCTTCATGAACCAACCCCTGCTGGCTTCAAAATTTTCTCTTTCCTCACCTCTTTCAGCCTTCTTAGAACTGAAAACAGTCAGGTCCTTGCTCTGGGTTAGGCTTTGGCTTAAGGGAATGCTGTGACTGATTTGATCTTCTATTCAAACCACTACAACTCTGTCCCTATCAGCCATAAGGCTCTTTCACTTTCTTATTATCTGTGTGTTCACTGGAGCAGCACTTTTAATTTCCTTCAAGAGATTTTCCTTTGCATTTACAACTTGGCTAACTGTTGGGTGCAAGAGACCTAGCTTCAGGCACATCTTGGCTTTTGCATGCCTTCCTCACTAAGCTTAATTATTGCTAGCTATTGAGTTAGAGAGAGAGACTCTTTCACGTGAACACTTAGAGGATTTTGAGGGGTCATTGATTGGCCTAACTTCAATATTGTTGTGTCTCAGGGAACAGGGAGGCCCGAGGAGAGGGAATGATATGGGGAACATCTGGTTGGAGCAGTGAGAACACACAGAACATTTATTAAGTTTCTGTCTTATATGGGCATGGTTCATGGTGCCCCAAAACAATTACACTAGGAAGATCAAAAATCACTGATCAAAGATCACCATAAGAAATGTAATAATAATGAAAAGATTTGAAATATTGTGGGAACTACCAAAGCGTGACACAGAGACATGAAGTAAAGCAAATGCTATTGGAAAACTGGCACAAAAGTGGCCACAAAACTTCAATCTGCAAAAAGCGCAGTATCTGCAAGAGACAATAAAGGGACATGTAAAACAAGAGATGTCGGTGTAGCAAAGTTCTGGAAACAATGTGAAGTACCTATGAAAATACTTTGTAAAAGGTAAGGAACAGGGCAATGAATGCTAAACCACCACCAGTGCCACTGCTTCATTCTGAATGGAAAAATAGAAGGTCAGGGGAGGCCAGATGAAGGTCAGGTTATTAAGTGGCATGAAGGTGATAGCAACCAGGGCTGCTGATTTCCAGGGGGTTAACTGATCTTTGTATGGGTTACCTAACAAGGAGAATCATAGTCCATGACCCCTGTCTGCCTATGGGCCATAGCGAAGTCCAGAAATTCGGGAGGAAATCTGGAAGAGATATGGAGACTGGCAAAAATTCCAATCCCCTTTCCTGGAGTTAGAGAGGCCTTCTTCTGACTTCACTCACTTGGTTGTCTGACACCAGAAGAATCCATTTGTGAATTGTGACTCTTCCACAAGGTCCAAAATACACAATTTACTCGGGCAGGAAAATATTTTGATATTCACAAAACCACCCACAAATCTATTTCTGTGAAGAAAATGTTTTGACCTGACATGAGTTTATGGTAACGTAGCTTGAGTGCTGGCTTGGCAATCAAAGAACTCAAGTTCCAGGCCTGGCTGGGCGATCCTGACCACACTCTTCCTATCTTAGAGACCTGTCTTCTCTACTACTTAGGCCTGCCCTACACACTCCAAAGGACAGAGTTCTACACACGTAAGACATAAGATACCACTGATACATTAATTTCTTTTTTTTTTTTCACTTTAAAAATATGAAAAGGAATCACAGGTGGTCTATTTATGGATGTGGAAGATGTAGGAGGACCCACAAAACTCTATTTAACAGATCTGTAATTCAAGAAGAGGTCTCGGTCCTGCATCAAAAGACAAATGATGATATATTTAGCTTATTTTAAATGAAAGGTTAAGGGACGCAAGTATCATTTTCTGTGATTCCTGATTTGGGTCAATTTTTTTTTTATATATTAAGTACCCACAGTGAATAAGAGTTCTACTCTGTAAAGCTTACTTCTAGATGACATCAATGCTAGAATTTTTGAGGCATGGATTAATTCAAGAGCAGATCCTTGAGTGTCATTTAGACAGAGAATACCTGAAATACAAACTTCATATAATTTTACAGTTGACTTTTATATCCTATAAATGGTCAGAAGCCCAAGGATTTTCAGCTGTTCTAATTGAGTCTAAGGAAGAACTTAGTAACTCTTACTAAATAAAGAGAACAGTAGAATGCACAAAAATAGCACAGTATTATTCATTATCTTCAAAACCCTGAGTTAAAATGTGCTTTCAAAATCAGTGAGCATAAACCCTTTTGCATGGCACCTATCCTACCCATTTACCGTAACACAATCTTCCAACTGGAAGTGTGTGAAGGACCACGTTCTCTCAAGGCCATTGGTTCTCCTGTGAGTAGCTTTCAAATGACTTCCTAAAGGTTCTACTTCTTGGACTGTTTGGCATCTTACCCAGAAAGACATAATCTAATTCCTCTCTGATAGTGAGGTCAGCAATTATCTAAGTGAGCTGAATCTTTTCTACCACTCATTTGTTGGTTCATTCATTCACTCATTCAACAATTATTGGCTGAGCAACAACCACATGGTAACTACTGATCAGCACAGTAGATAGAAACACCGAAAAGGCCGTTAGATCCCCCACTTCATGGGTGGAGGGGGAGGGGTTTAGAAAGAAATAAGAAATAATAGTAATATCAAAACTGAGGGCTGTAACAGAGAGTGAATGTTCCAAGTAGCTGTTGTAGATTGGGTGGTCAGGGAAGGCTCAGGGCATGGGAATATCCAGAAGGGCACTCTAGTCAGAACGAATAGCTACTGCAAAGGTCCTAAAGCAGAAACGAGCTCCCTGGGTGGAAGACAATGCCCATGAGACTGGGGTTGAGGTTGAGTCGGAAGGCAGGGCTGTGTGGCATGCAATGAGACAGCAGAGGTGGAAGTGGTCGAATCTTGGAGACACTTGCAAGGCCCAACTACACATTTTGAGGTTGGATTTTATTCCGAGAGCAACATGCAGGAAAATAAAAAAAAGGCCTGATTCATCTGCTGTTCGGAGACTGGATTAAAGGGAGGGCAGGCAGGGAAGCAGGGAAACCCGTTAAGAGTCTGTTGGTGGGCCAGGTGAGAGAAGGGGGTAGTCTGGGCTGACATTGTGGTGCAGAAATGAAGAGCCTTACACTGATTCAAGGCATGTCTTGGAGGAAGAGTCAACAGGATTTGGTCGTGGACTGGATGTTGGATTTGAGGACACAAAATGAATCAAGAATAAGTACTATGTATTTTGTTTATAATCTGCCAAGGGATTTCCTTCATATGATCCTGATTAACCCTCTCAAGCAACCAGGGTGGAAGACTGGGAAACTCTCCTTATGCAAGGATACAGAAATGGGAGGGTGAAACCTGCCAAGGCTTACAAAGCTTCTGAAGCAAGGATTTGAATTTGGGACTTATGATTCAGACTTCTCCATTATGCTAGCTTTTCTTTCAGTATTTCATTGCTTGCCCAAGGAAAAGGAATTTTATTAACCGTGTTGATTTATAAATAAAGGATAGAAACAAGAGTGAAAACTGAGAAGAAGAAACCCGGACAACATAAGTCATCTTTCCCACCTAGAGATGTCACAATCATGGCTTCAAAGGACAACACAGACTTCTTCCATTAATTAAACGGATGAATCAGGTTTCAGTTTCCGCATCCTCTCTCCTTTCTGCACAACTTGTCTTTGAAGGCATTCCATTTGGGAAATGCGTGACCTTTACTCACGGTGCTGCGCTTAATTGAATGCTTTGTTGCATCAGAAGTCACCATGCTGATCAACATCTTACACCCATTGCCTTTCTGAAATCCTTACCCCAGTTCCTGGGTCTGTTTGGTTGAAATCATTTTACAAAAATAAATCATATCAAAGTTTTTCTTTTATTATTTCTAAGACTTTGCTTGCAAAACTAAATATTTTTAACACCATGGCAACACAGTCAGGACTCTGACTAATGTATCCAGGCCCGTACCAGAGTTCAGACTTCGCAAACTCCTGCTGCAGACAAATGGGCTTCGAGTGAGGAAAGAGCCAATAAATTAGGCATGGTCAATAATCAGTCCAGTCACATTTTCTGGAGCTTCCTAAAGAGTGATAAATTCGCCAGGCTTGTCTTAATGGATCAATTCCCCCCTCTCTACTAGGACACACCAACACAAACTGAGCAAATTGCAAACTACTCGGCTTCTCAATGAGTTCAAATAACACCTCCCACACCTTCCCAAGTACTATCCTCACCCATCTGCTCCTCTGACCCTTCCGATTTCCCTCTTGAGTTGGGCAGGCTGGGTTAGCAGCTCTGCTTTTTCCAGGGGAGGCTCACAGAGGTTAGGTAATTTGTCAGAGTTGCAGGACTGATCACATGGTTAGGAAGAGGCAGAAATAATATTTTCAACTGCATCTCTTTTATTTTTTATTTATTTATTTTTTTGTTACATAAATTAGCCCATTTATTATAGGCTAGCAACATTATCAAATGGTGGTGCTTCTACTGGTCCTTCAGTTCCTTCAGTCTTCTGATGGCAGACTTTACTTTGACAGCAGAAGTGGTGTTGTAGGTCCAGGCACCACCAGCTACTGTTTTCATGCAGGAACCACAGTGCCAAATGCCCACAGCTTTTCTCTTCATCTTGGTTTTGCCACAGAAGGAGCAGGTATACTTGGCGTGCTGGCTGATTTCAATTTTCTTCACCATTTTCCTGAGGGAGGCACCATAATGGGTCCCGTATTTGCCCACGATTCTGACCTTCTTGGTGCGTTTCGCCATGTTAACGCAACCTAGATCCGAGCCCAAGAGCTCAACTGCATCTCTTTTAAACCCTGGCCAGAACTACTTTCAGCACACCAGCCTTTGCTGTTGAAATTGAACTAGACTATCAGCTACAAATGTTTTCGTTTATTGTTATCTTTGGTTCTGTACATTTATCAAAGTTATACATGCACAGAGTTAAAAGAATAAATGGATGCTATGCATTCTATGAATATCCAGCCCAACAACTTCACCCAATTCTTCCTCTCCAGAGGCAACCATTTACACCAACTTTACCTGCTTAGTTGAGCACTTAACTGCATGTCTCTAACAAGCTGCTATTGGCATCTTTTGATTTTTCTCTTTATGCACTGTAAATGGTGGTCCTCTTTCCTCCCCTCACATCCACCACACACACAAGCTTCCTCTCGATGTAGTACTACCATGACTTGGTTAGACTGATACTCAGCTTTGCCATTACTATAAACTTACAAAAACAACTTCCCAGTCCCAGCTGAGATATGCAAATTTTGATTAATTTATCTGTCCTAACACCCTCCCTCCAACTCTCTCGTCCTCAGAATGAATGATTTCCCTCCTAATTTATGTTCTCCATGCTTGCTGTCACCGAGGCTCTCTGTCTATGCTGGAGTATCCCTTCACTTCCCTTCTCTGTTGGACTTTTCATTCCCTGTCACCTTTGCATTCCTATTTCATTGCAAAGCACATTCTCTCGTAGCATCCTGAGGATGGATGCATGAGAGATGTGTTTTTTGATATCCAATAAGCACATGGAAAGATGCTCAATATCTCTAATTATTAGAAAAACGCAAATCAAGACTGCAATGAGGTGCCACACCTCACACCAGTCAGAGTGGCCATCATTAAAAAGTCAACAAATAACAAATGCTGGACAGCGTGTAGAGAAAAGGGAACCCTTCTACACTGTTGGTGGGAATGTAAACTGGTATAGCCACTATGGAAAACAGAATGGTGGTTTCCTAGAAAACGAAAAACATAGTTGCCTTATGACCCAGCAACCCCATTCCTGGGCATATATCCATACAAAACTATAATTCGAAAAGACACATGCACCTCTGTGTTCACAGAAGCACCATCCACAATAGACAAGACATGGAAGCAACCTAAATGTCCACTGACAGATAAATGCATAAAGAAGACATAGTATACATAAACAATGGAATACTGTTGTTGCTCAGTCGCCCAGTCGTGTCTTATTCTTTGCAACCCCATGGACGGCAGCACACCAGACCTCCCTGTCCCTCACCATCTCCCAGAGTGTGTCCAAGTTCATGTCCATTGCACTGGTGATACCATCCAGACATCTCATCCTCTGACACCCTCTTCTCCTTCTGCCCTTAATCTTTCCCAGCATTTGGGACTTTTCCAATGAGTCAGCTATTCTCATCAGATGACCAAATTACCGGAGTATCAGCTTTAGCATCAGTCCTTCCAATGAGGACTCAGGGTTGATTTCCTTTAAGATTGACTGGTTTGATCTCCTCGCTATCCAAGGAACTCTCAGGAGTCTTCTCCAGCACCACAGTTCGAAGGCATCAATTCTTTTGGCACACTGCCTTTTTTATGGTCCAGCTCTCACAACCATATGTGACCCACTGGGAAGACCACAGCTGTGACTACATGGACCTTTGTTGGCAGAGTGATACCTCTGCTTTTCAAAACACTGTCTAGGTTTGTCACAGATTTCCTACCAAAAAGCATTTGTCCTCTGATTTCATGGCTGCAGTCACCACCTGCAGTGACTTTAGAGTCCAATAAGAGGAAATCTATCACTGCTTCCAACTTTTCCCCTTCTATTTGCCATGGAGTAATGGGGCTGGATGCCATGATCTTAGTTTTTTTAATATTTAGTTTTAAGTCAGCTTTTTCACTCTCTTCCTTCACCAGCATCAAGAGGTTCTTCAGTTCCTCTTTGCTTTCTGCCACTAGGGTGGTATCATCCCCATGTCTGAGGTTGTTGATGTTTCTCCTGACTCTCTTGATCCCAGCTTGGAGTGGAATATTACTCAGTCATAAAAAGAATGAACTAATGCTATTTCCAGCAACATGGATGGACCTAGAGATTATCATACTAAGTGAAGTCAGTCAGAAAGAGAAAGACAAATACCATGTGATATCACTTATGTGTGAAATCTAAAATATGACACAAATGAACACAGAACATGAAACAGAAACAGATTCACAGACATAGTGAACAAACTTGTGGTTGTTATGGGAGAGGGAGAATGGGGGAGGGAATGATTGGGAGTTTGGGATTAGCAGACGCAAGCTAATATATACAGGATGGATTAAAAAACAAGGTCCTACTGTATAGCACAGGAAACTATACTCAATATTTTGTGATAGGCCATAATTTTAAAAATATGATAAAGAATATATATATATATAACTGAATCACTTTGCTGTAGAGCAGAAGTTAATACATTGTAAATCAACTATACCTCAATAAAATTTTTTAAAAAGGAACTAAATTTCAGTTGCTTTTATTATTGCTTTTAAATTTTCTACGGAAATGTCAGATAAAAGCTGGGACACCAAGTTAAATGTGAATTCGAGATAAACAAGGACTAATTCTTTTAGCATACGTATTGTGCGTTATTTAAAACACACTTTTAAAAAGTCTGGTTTGTCTGAAATTCAGATTTAAATGGGCCTCCTGGATTTCATTTACTAGATTTGGTAACACTAACGGTAACCCCATATTATATGCGTGGAGGGCAGAATGCTCCACTGAACTCCCCTCCACCCACTGCTTGGTAGGCCCCCAACCTTGTCTATTGCAAATTCAAGGGAAGAGCCACTTCAGACCTTCTTTAAATGGTCTTTTTTGCTTCCTGAGATAATATCAATAGGCCGTCACTTTTCTCAAGTTCTGTGGGGGGCTCAACAGTACTGAGTAAGTCTGCAAAATGCCATACTTTCATCCAAGAGTTGGACAGACCCTGGCTGGGAAGGCGCCAACATGGCCATGAGGGAGACAGGATCCTTCCTCCTGCCTTCAGTGGAACAAACTTGAATATTCATAAGATTAGCAACACCGGTTATTAGCATTTCTCCTCACCTCTCAGTCAATTCTTCACTAACTACAGTAATAGGGAGAGGGATGGATACCACACAAAATTCCAAGTTAAACATTTCCCAAGTTAAAAAGTGGTCAAGGGCAAGATGAAGCCCAAGTTCTGGTAACTCACCGTCTGCCCTCTCTTCATCACTGGGGACACCAGCTCTCCTGCAGGCAGGTTCCCTCCCCGATGCGATCAGTGCTCAGAGTTCCAAACTCATCTCACCCTCATCACCTCGCTAATACTATCTCATCAATGTATTTGCCCAGACACTAATTTGTTTATGAAGTTAAGTGAGGTAAAGATGAGGATTGTTTCCACCTTGTAGGGAAAACAGTAGGTGGTCTACTGCTTACCATGTAATTTCAAACAGGGAAGGTCTTCTAATAAATAGTATAGCTGACTCATAGAGATTACTGTTAAAAATGATGCATTAATGTTTTATGGACTATCACTGATCCTTAACCTCACAATCTAGCTACCTATAGTTGACAGCTGACTATAACTTATGTTTTTGAAACTAGTTTTAATTGTATGATTTCATATTCATATCCAAATTGTTAAACTATTACTACCACAGTAGTCTGTGTCCAGGGCCGTAAACAACTTACCACGTAAAAATGTTCTCATCCTGTTTATATATGTTTATGTGTGTGCTCCCTTCCTAATTCCTCCTCTTGGAGCTGATTATATTGGTATTGACTGTGTGCCTCTAAATGTGTTTGTTTTGTGGGCTTTTAGAAAGGAGTGAAGCTAAGTGAATGAGTTCAATCAACCAACTTCATCTGGAAGACACGCTGACTATAGTTAAAAAAAAACCTACCAAAGGCAAAACACATCTCCTTTTTAAGTTGTTACTTTCATGTACGTATGAATTTACATCCTTCTGTAACTTAGATTTAGAGGCAGAATATTCAGATACTAGTTTCATATAAAACAGAGGTTCATTTGGATCCTTCTGGACTAATCTGGTCACTCTACTAAAATAAGGACATGGGGATTGAAAATGTTGGAAGAAGTGATGAATATATTTCAATGTCAAGTTAGAGATCTTACTACTATTCAAATTTAGAATAAAGACTTCAGTGTTTATTGAATGCCTGGACTACACATTTCACACAGCATCTCATTTACAGAAGGCTTAAAAGAGTTAACATTTCAGGATAAACATTTGAAGGATAAACATTTATAGAGCGATAACAGATATCAAAAAAAGTTAACAGAGACTCTTTGCCTCTGAAACTGTGAAAGTGTATTCCCAAATATTTCTAAATGATACATAAGAAAGGACATGTTCAAATATAGTCTAAAATGTTTAGAGAAAAGAACATCATCAGAATTATCTTAAAACACACATGAATACACACATACTCACACATACTCACTTGCATCTCTGCCAACATTCTCAAACAAGTTAGATTATCTTACTCTGAGTCTAAGAATGTCGGAGTGGGTAGCCATTCCCTTCTCCAGGGGATCTTCCTGCCCCACGGATCAAACCTGGGTCTCCCTCAATGCAGGCAAATTCTTTACTATCTTAACCACAAGGGAAGCCCTAACTACTGATTACATATTCCCAATTTACATATGCAGTACCAGGATTAATAATGCATCATTTTCAAGTCAAGATTTAGTTCATCGTTAGATCAAATACCCTACCCTTAATGATAGGGGATACCAAGTAAGCCTTCTTAGCTATTAATGGCAATTTATTTTTATCCTTAAACTTTTTGCAACAGGCTGACTTCTCAACACCTATTTGAAGAGTTCCTGTCCTTTCCAACAACAACAAAAAATTGGCTGTTCTACTTTGAAACCCAGAAATAATTTTTATAATTATTTAAATAACAATATAATTATTTAAATAAAAATAATAAAATTGGATCATGTCACACAAATGTGGATTTGGGGGCAGTGATATCATACTAGAATAATTTTGAGTAATACTAAAGTTGTTCATTTTGGCTTTCAAGCATCAAGACATCAGAGAGGATGTGACCTATTCTACTATATTTGTTTATGTGGATAACAAACCCATGCAGGGTAATGAAGCTAGGGAATATGAAACGTGCTTGTATAGGGCTCTTTATCACAGTTACACCTATGAAAAAGATCATCCAGGAATGACCATTTAATCAACAGCTGTGTTCTTATATTAAGAATTAATAGCAATATCAACATCCCTTCTTCTTAAACTGCATTTAACAGAAAAGATATTCTATGACATATACTAAGTATGTTCAGTGAAAGAAAAAAAACAATGTTTGATGTTTTGAGAAATCTTGCTTCAACAGGATTAAACCTGTTTGTTTTTGTTTGTTTTTTTGAAAATTGCAGGACTTCCAAGAGCCTTGAATAAGCTCATGTGCAATGTATCCCTGTGATTCGTTTTTAGTACACAGCATTTCCAGGTTTATGGGGCGACAGCCTTTTTTTTTTTTTTTTTAAGAGAGCACCAATTCACATTTCATGCAATACTGGTGAGAGTCACTAGCTGGGGAATCCTACATCTAGAGCTTCAGCAAGGCGGGTGTGTGTGTGTGTGTGCGCGTGCATGTGTGTGTGACTGGTTTTAACTGGCACAATCAGAAAGAATGCATTTCATGGCGTGTTTGCTTCTTATTGCTATTATGACAAATTACCGAAGACTTAAATGGCTTAAAACAATACAAATATATTACCTCATAGTTTCGTTTGTTAGAAGTCTGACATGGGTCTCTCTGAGCTGACATCAAGGTGTTGACAGGGCTGCATTCCCTTCTGGAGGCTCTAGGGAGAATCTGTTCCTTGCCTTTTCCAGCCTTAGAGGCTTCCCACATTCCTTGGTTCACTGCCCACTTCCTCCATCTTCCAAGCCAGCAACACTGCATCTCTCTGATCATTCTACTGTAGTATCTCCCGCTGACCTCAGAAAAAGTTGTCAGCTTTTAAAGATTCATTTAAAGATCTGTGTGATTAGATTAGGCCCACTTGGCTAGTCTGGGATAATCTCTCCATCTCAAGGTCAGCAAAGTCCCCTTTTGCCATGTAAGGTAATAAAGTCACAGACTCCAGGGAGCAGGGTTTGGACATCTTTGGGAGCCATTACTCTGCCTACCACAGATGGGTTTGTAAGAGTACCTTCAAAGTGCTAGCTAGCAAACAAGGTCAAGGGATGAGACAGAGAGCAGTTATTCCTGTTGCTTGCTCCCAGGTACGACTTACGTCACCAAAGTATCAGGGAAATAAAAATTACTGTCTGATTAAGGGATGCATGACAATAAACAAGACAAAGAATACATTCATGATCACCAAGAGCTTGTTCTGTAGTGCTCTGGGAATTAGGTTCTCCATGAACACAGTCAGTTGGCCCTCAACACTATGGGCCTGATTCCACAACCTATGTGTTTTCCAGTAAAAGGTGTGTACCATTAATCAGCTATATTGAAGCTTTCCTTACTAAGGAACTGTGCATTCATTACCTCTGATGATGCAGGTGTTATAACTGCCCTTAAAAAAAATTCAGGTGAAATAATACCTTTTATCTGGGCTTCCCAGGTGGCACTAGTGGTAAAGAAACTGCCTGCCAATGCAAGAGACGTAAGAGATGTGGATTTGAGCCCTGGGTCAGGAAGATCCCCTGGAAGAGAAAATGGCAGCCCACTCCAGTATTCTTGCCTGGGACAATCCCATGGACAGAAGAGCCCGGCAGGGCTACACTCCCTGGAGTTGCAAACCTGGAATTTTCCCAGGCAAGAATACTGGAGTGGGTTGCCAGTAGAAAGTATATCTCTGACTCTAAAGTCTGAGTTCCTAATCCTGTGCAGTACTGTTCACCTTGATATCCCATCTCTATGTCTCCTCCAGCCATGTAACCCCACCCCACACACAAAGTTCTTTCCCATGTCTCTAACTGATCTGAAGATCTATCAATACATACATAGCTGGAGCAGGTTCTTGTGCTCACACACACACACTCATCCACTAACTCTGTCATTTGCTTCCTTACGAGGCTCTATGCATTTTCTATGTATCTTTCTGCTGTGACCTCTGACCAGATCATGGAGACTTCTGGGGCAGCAGCAGGATAAGTTGTGACAGGCCTTAGAGTCATATCTAGTTTCAAAATGCGACTAGGTCATCAGCTGTGAAGTAACCTGGCAGGTCACCTGCGCACCATGAACTTCTGTTTCCTCCTCTTGAGAGGACTGTATAGCGATATCTGCTTCACAGTATCATTGTAAGGACTTAAAGAGATGCTCTGTGGAAAGTGCCTGATAATAATCACACAATAAATTGTAGCGGATACTACTATCCTCAATTCTCTGCTATGTCTTCCTACATAAAAGTGATGGTGGAAGTTCTGGTCTCTAGGAAAGACACTCATTGACAATCTCTACTGCTATCAGCAGCATCTATAGAACCAAAAACCGTCATTTAACTTCCACTCCATTGTTAAGGTGTGGTTCTTGCTACCCAAGATGATTTTCTTTTCAAAGTCTATGGCTGCCTGGGAACTAGGGCCTGAGCCTTCTTGAAATTTGCTAATCACATCTGGTTTAGCTTTAGACATTTTCTGGGGTTTTGCCAGCAGCCACGACATTTTAATGGCTACAATAAACCTCAAAGCCTCATCAAATCTTTGCTGTATGTGTGAAAATTATGTCCTTTTCAATTAAACATTCAATCTCAGCTCACACTCAGGCCTTATGGAAATGGAGCTGAAGCCTGAATGGGGACGGGAGATGAAACGGGCCGCCGTGACTCTGGCCATCTCGCCAGATGGGATTTGGAAGAACAAGAAATTCATTAGAGAACCCATGGTCTGTATTTTCTTTAAATATTTACAAGGTACCTTTCATGTATTAAAAACACTGGCATCTCTAAAGATTAGCAGGGCATTTTTGTTTAAATATTCAATGTGTGTGGGGCAGCCCCGGTTTCCTCATTTGCCTTGGTGGTGAACTTCATGTCTTCTGATGACATGCCATGCACAGAAGAAAAATAGCTGGGGTATTGTTCAGTTTTCCTGCATAAGGCAGCTCTTCCAGCTTCAGCAGTTCCTGTATGTCCTTAAAATTGCCTGAGGAAACTATCAGTTGAGTCCTCAGAGATCTGGGATGACACCATGGATCACCCTAGAGAAAATAAGGTACATCCCTGCCTCTCCGCTGTCCTCCGAATTCACTCTTCTTTTCCCTTTGTTATTTATCATCAAACACACAGAGGCAACAAAGGCAGGGGGCCGAGGGAAAGCAGGCGAAGAGGAAAGATCCAGTACAGATCAGGTTTCTGCTCAAAGACCACAAGAGAGGGCAGGCCGTAGTTTCACAAGGACCAAGAGACCAGAGAGGATGAGCAGTCAGGGACAGCCGTAGTGGCTCAGATGGTAAAGAATCTGCCTGCCAATGCAGGAGACACAGGAGATGTGGGTTCGATCCCTGGGCCGGGAAGATCCCCTGGAGAAGGAAATGGCAACCTACTCCAGTATCCTTGCTTGGAGAATTCCATGGACAGAGGAGCCTGGCAGGCTATAGTTCCCATGGTTGCAAACAGTCAGACGCGACTAAATATCCAACATACTCATGTCCTGGCCAAGCACAGGTCCTCTCTGCTACTGAAATAGCCACCTTGAAGACTGACCTGGCCCTAATTCTGCCACTGAAGAGGGACAGAAAAATACTGATACGTGATGGCTTACTCCGCTTTCTTACAATAAGAATCAAGCTCATCTAAGTCAAGGAAAAAGCTGTTTTTGAAGAGAGGAAAAAGAACAATCATGTGTTCACAGATCACATTCCTGAACGAAACATCCATTTGGTTGAATTCACGCTCTTGACCACATCAACAGGAGGAAAAAGAAACTCCACATGTTCCTTTAAAAATCATTTACAAGGTAAAAATATTCAGTTGTAACCACCATCCTTATTTAAGTAAGTTTTATGCCTAAAGTAAAAATAAATGGTTCGCCCTGCCACTGGGAGCAGATCTTTCCCACTTTACTTGCATTTCCAAGCTGTCCTCCGTCTAAGACTTAGATTTCTGAGTACTCTTTCACAATAAACATTTTAAAAATGTTTATTTTATGTCTTAGTGTAAAAATATTCCTGGTGCAAGCTCTTCATTTCCTCAAGCTCTGCTTTTGGCGCTCTGGGCTCCATTTCCACATTAACACGCTCCCTAAATCCTCCGCAGAGCTCTTCAATAGGAGTTATACAAGCTCTGAGGCAAGTATTTATATTCTTGGACAAGGAGATGTCTCCACTGTGAAAACACAAGACTCGAGAGATGCCAAAGGAAAATTCCTGCCCAACAGAGACATAGTTTCACCTTTTAAAAAAGCCAAAAAGGGCTTTCAGCATTTTGCTTTGGATAATTAAAAATGTAAATTAAACTAAAATAGACTGTTTACTATGGGTCTTGCCATCACTATTAGACTTATATACATAAACAAAATATATAGGAATGTGTGTGTGCATTTTGCGTGACAGCAAGAAAGAAAGAGAGATAAGGCAGCATAGTAAACTAGCTTAGAAAACACAATGCATGAGATTTTCCAATTAGATCTAACCTGCCTCTTTCTCTGGCTGTATGAATATAGCTTTTCTAAGCCTCATTTTTCTCATCTATGAAATGGAGTTAGTGTAGTTCCTGCTTATTTGGGTTACCTTTACCTTCTTATCCTAGTTAGAAGAATCATATAAGACCACAGTAAGAATTCAAAAAAAAAAAAAAAAGAGTTGCTGTAATTATTATTATTAAAATTACATCTATTACATGTTGGAAAATATATGTAACAAGATACACATCTAATAAGCACTGATTAACACTAACAAAAGAGAAAGATGTGTAAATAAAGTGACTCCAAATGGTTCACAGAGGTGGGAGTGTCCCGAAGACTGTAGTAACTGAACTCTCACCAATTCCATTCCAGGAGCCAGAGAGAGATCACCCTCTTCAACCATTTAAAAAATATCTACGATCATAATAACAGAACAGTTCCCATTACCTTCTAGTTGCCTCTTCAGTTTTCTCAAATCTTTTATAAGGTCTTCGAATTTGACTTGAGAAGCCAAGAAGAAATCCTGTGGTTCAGGCAGGGGGAAAACGCTCTTTTCTGTTCCTGCTTCCTGGAATATATGGTAAACAAAAGTACATTATACTTCCCAATTGTCACTTTCAGTTGAAATTCCAAAACATCTTTTTTTAGGCAGTTGGATAAGAATCATAGCAAAGATCCCCTGCTATTCCTAACTTTGAACTGGCTACTTTGAAGTGCTTTTATGTCTTTTGTGCTATCATTTTGGTCTTACTGGCACTGAGGCCAAGGCTACGGGTATGGCATGGGCTGAGGTCTTAATTTTTTTAATTAATTTATTTTATTTTTTGGCCGTGCCTCACAGCATGTTGGCTCATCATTCCTGGACCAAGGATCAAACTCATGCACCCTGCAGTGGAACCTGGGAGTCCTAAACACTGCACTGCCAGGCAAGTTCCCAGGTTGGGTTTTAATTTGACTCTTGACTCAAAGAGAAAATGGTCAGCTATGTCCTAATCTTAGACCCCCGATTCCCATGGGAAAAGGTATAGGACGAACACATGAAAGTGCTTAAATTCAAAGTCCCTGTTGAGCTTCACATGGTAGCAATTAGATAACTCATCTTTGGGGTATGGCCATGGGTGGGAATTAGAAGGTGCTGCACTGAAGTGGGAGAAGCAATTGCGCTCATTTATGCTCTTACCTTCCTTCCTTTGCAGTTTAAAGCTCGTGCATGTGTTGGTGTGTGCATGTGTGATCAAATTCTTCATGTATTTGTAAAGATTCTCCTAATGTTGCTTGCCTTGGAAGTATAAAAGTGTTAGTTGCTCAGTCATGTCCAGTTCTGTGTGACCCCATGGACTGTGGCCTGTCAGGCTCCTCTGTCCAGGAAATTCTCCAGGCAAGAATACTGGAGTAGGTTGCCATTTTCTTCTCCAGAGGATCTTCCCAACCCAGGCATCAAACCTGGGTCTCCTGTATTACAGGCAGATTCTTTACCATCTGAGCCGCCAGGCAAGACCTACCTTAGTAGGTATTTACAAAGGCAAGGCTGTGTAGAGTGCTGACAAGCTTCTAACTACCGCTACGAGAGGATCTCAGCAGAGAAACATCCAGAGGTGCACAGCCTGTAGGCACACGGGGAGAAGCAGAGCCTCAACTCTCTTTTCCAGTCCAGCCTGCTTTCTCCCCGAGTTGTTCAATGTAAGCGTTGTGTCTTACACATCTCAGGCCGTCTTCGCTTATGCTTCTGTCCACACAGGCTACCCTGCCAGCTCTCCTTCACATTCCATCTTCCCTACTGCCATTAGGACTAATTCCAAACCCTACAACTGCTTTACAAGGCACTTTAGGATCTGGCCTCTGTCTCCACCTCCAGCCTGATTCCTCCCTTCTCCTATCTCTGACTCCCTCACTCTTAGACTTTCAGAAAATAAAGGAACAGGCCACAGTCTCTTGCTTGTAGACTTCTGTTTACAAAACTGTCTCTTTCCAAATCCTTCGCCAGGCCTTTCTCACACGTCCTGGTTCATACTTCTTCAATTTTTCTCAAAACAGCACTTCCTTAAGGCTCTCCCCAGAACTCCAGCACTTGGATGTTTCCAAGAGCCCCTGCTACTTTCCGTATCACAGCACTTATCAACATTAATTTAAAAATTGCCTTGTGAGCTTGGCATCTTCCCCAGTAGACTATAAACACTTTGAAGGCAGGAACTATGTCTTGTTCTTAGTTGAGTACTCACCATCAGATCTACCCATACACTTTGGCACTATTACAGACAGCTTATGGAACACTGTTCTGAGAAGTTTGCATCTTGGACAGGGGTCATCAACCTTATCACCCTCTTTTCTTGTGATTTTAAGAATTTCCTGGGTCCTTCCCTCTTCCTTTAAGACATCTGGCCCCATTTGTAATGCTAGAAGAAAATGATTTTCCTCATTTGATCAGGATAATATTTTACATGATCAGTGTTACTGCTTTAAGAAACAATGGAAGCAGTACCCTAGTAGGAGTGCCAAGATGGAACAACATCTAAGATGCTTGCCACAAAATTCCATGGTAATCAACACTGGAAGAACTCATGCATATCTCTTTCTAGCCTTCAAACCTTTTTTTTTTATCAGATCCAGTATCAGTTTCTTCTTCTTTTTTTTTAAGGTAGAAAAAGAGAAAATGCTGCTGAGCAAATCGGCCTAGTAGTAGCTCTTATTAAAGCTGCTCAGTTAGAGTTCAAAAGACACGGCCCTAGAAGGGTTTCTTTAAACCTCACATAGACCTCAACTTGGACCAAAAATCAGCCATAAGTAGAAGGAAGCTTGGAGCAAGAGTCACCTTTCTTCTGCTAATTGCTCTTCACCACTAACCACAAACATCATCACTTAGGCTCCTAAGAGGGAAGGGATCATTTTATAAATCACATAATCCTACACTCTTGAGTGAAATTCATTCTGCACAGTGAAAAACTGGGAGAGCACCACACAGTTGTTGACTTCTTATTTTTCCTAAACTAGACTATCCTATTGTTCAGTTGCCAAGTGGTGTCTGACTCTTTGTGACCCCATGGACTGCAGCACAGCAGGCTTCCCTGTCCTTCACTATCTCCTGGAGTTTGCTCAAGCTCATGCCCGTTGAGTTGGTGATGCCATCCAGCTACCTCATCCTTTGTCACCCCCTTCTCCTCCTGCCCTCATATTTCCTAGCATCAGAGTCTTTTCCAATGAGTTGGCTCTTCACATCAGGTGGCCAAAGTATTGGAGCTTCAGCTTTGGCATCAGTCCTTCCAATGAATATTTAGGGTTGATTTCCTTTAGGATTTCTGAAACTAATCTTACTGTATTTTAATATTTTCCTCTGTGAAGCTGATTCCACTGGGTTCAGCTCTCTTCATCAGGAGTCAAATTCCATAGGCAAATTTCATCCTTCCTACACAGCGCGTCTGCCTAGGAAGGATGGTTGAGACAGAGACTGTGCATAAACCTGTTCATGTCAACTTTGAACTGCCACCCCAAGATTCTTCAGGATAGTTCTTCTGCCACGCTGGTACCTATTGTCAGAACTGTGGGTGCACAAACATTGCCTCAAGCTCAACACACCTGTACTGCTCTACCGGAAAATAGCTGTCACCTCCCCTCATCTAATTCTTCAGAGATGCTACTGACTACATGTTTGTCAGTACATTTACAGATATTTACAGTACATTCAACTCAGTAAGTGTATCAAGTGCCTACATTACAGACAGTCAGATAAGCCCACCAGGAGGGGAGGAGAGATGACGAAAGACTTGATCAGTGCTTAGCTTGTCCTCTGCATGAAACTGCAGGCCTTTTGAAAAGGACGCCCTGGAATCTTGACTCTTCTCCCCTCTGTACCTAGGAAAAACTCTGCCTTTGTAGATAGGTAAGTGGGACTCCTGACAACATTTTCCCAAGACTTTTTCCATTTATTGACTGCTAGGTTTCTCAACAACTTAAAATAGTACCTCTTTCTTCTCAGAGCTAGGACTCCTTGTTCTTGATTTAATGAGAAGGAATAAAACACAGAAAATGGTGCTCAGGTGGATTCTCACAGAAACTTTTATTTCTAATGGCCAGTGTAATTTAAGCAGGGAAGATGGATTTAAATTCCATGTCTTTAACTTGTTCACCAGTGAACACTGCTGATAAAGTATTGGGTATTACTGCATATTAAGTTCCTAAATTTTGGTCTGCAGCCCAGAATCCAGTTTCAAATATAACCAATTACTGAATGGATATAGATTTCACAGGAACCCTCACAATCTGGTCAGAAGGCACTGAAATGACTAGGGATCTCTCTGAAGCTGTGTTACATAGTAGATTAAGAGGCAGTAGATTTGTACCACTGAATAATGCTTCCCTTCACAAGAGTCAACTAAATTCTCTTGGCTCTAGTGTTCCCATCTGTAAACCAAGGAGGCTGGAGAGCTCTCAAATTCTATGTTGGACTTGAAATTCATCCATCTAGCCATCATCCAATTTCTGAATGCCAACAATGTGAAGAAGTTGAAACCCCATTAGGCACAGTTTTCCACATAATGCCATTTCTTACCTGATCATAGTAACGCAGGTAATATTTCACCACGTAGTCGACCAGATTAATCCCATTATCCTAGGTTTAAAAGAGAAGCTTAAATGAATATCCTTCCCATGAGACTCTGCCATAGTATATAGTCAAAGAACTGAAATCTCATTTTGTAACTCTTATACTTTTATGATACCTAGTCTTGATTCTGTTTGATACTGGTGAGATTTTCCTCCCTGTCCCATTCATTTTTAATGGCATCTATAGAAAGAAATGACACTACACTTTTCGTTTGAGGGGGAGAAAACCCAAACAGATAATCCATCAGACCTCTGAGGTAATGGCTAAGACAAGCAACCAGCCAACCAAAAGACTGTCTCAATATTTTCAGGCATAAAGCCAAGAAAGGAGGAGGCAGGGGAGTGCTAAAGAGAACCAGGGAGTAGAATAGAAAAACCATCCCTCCCTCCCGCCTCTCAAAAAATGTGTGTTCTTAATGGCATGAAAAACAATCAAGATGGCTTAAAAGGAACACCCTGCCACTTTATGACCCTGGGACTCCAGGGGAGAGCAAGCCCTCCCACAAGGCAGCCTTTGTGTCTTGTTCACGTGGGCCTAACTCTAATTTGCCTGTGTGTCCCCCTCCCTCATTCCCCCTCCCGGCCCCACTGCGGGGACGCCTAGCTACGGGCTGCTTTTTCTAAAGAGAGCTCTGCAGGGGTGTGGAGCCAAATGATAATCAGGCTCAGAGGGGTGGACAGTGGACCCCCCAGTCCAATTGTTGTGGACCAAAAGATAATTCAAACGCTGAGCTCCCTTGGTGATTCAGCATCGCTCCCTACTCAGGGGCGAGTAAATTACAAGTAGCTCACACCAAATTCAAATAGATTCAAGTCTTGTGCTATGGCTAATACTGTACACTATCTGTTTTATCCTCTCATGGTAGTTCAACATCTAATTGTGTGCTTTCAAGCAAATGAATGTTGGGAATTTTTTCGTCAAAAGAAGATCAAACATGAAAAACCTGTATTCAAAAGAAATAAAAGAAAAAAAATGTACCTCGAGGAGGACAGAGATGAATGGAACGACTAGGGATACTTTAAACAAAAAATTGAAGGGGTAGAAGGAAAATGATGGCAGATCACAGATACTCATATGAAAAATAAATACCCGACTTTTGACGTCCTTGAGTTTGGGCAGAATTTCTAAGCTATATCCATCTGCTTGTCCCCGAGTCCTGTTTCCTCCATTCATATAATTTCCAAAAGCCAGAATGAGAGCTAAAATATCTTTTACACTCTTCATGTGCAGCAAGCCCTAGGGAAAAAATATCAATTATTATGAGGTTGAACTCCAAATGCACCTATGTTCATTCAACAACAAATGTTCACCAAGCACCTGATAGTCTGTTTGCTGGCCTGTTACCAACTGGATTTACAGTTGGTGAAACAGAAAATATACTTCATTAAGCCTTAAGTGTCTTAAAAAATATGTTAACAGCCATCATTTTTTATCCTTTCAATGAATTACAAACTGTGCATGTTTTAACACTGAATATTAAATATTACATTTCTATCTGAGCCAATTTTATTTTTTAAATACTTATTTTAAAGGATTCAGAAATTGAAACAAGAGAGTTGTTACAGTTAGGTTTTGTATTTGATGGCTTCTAAATAGAAAAGGTTTTAAGATCATTTGAGAATCTGGTTTTGGACACTGTCTCTATAGAAACAGCACAGTTAAATGTCGGGTAGATACAACAGCATGCCTACGCTTCCTTATCCCTGGAAATAACCCTTAGAGGTAAATTACAACAATGTATTTCGAGGTCACAGGCTCTGTTTATTAAGCGCTTGCTGATTTGTCTATTAACTTTTACAATTTCAAGCTTCTTGGGGTTTTCTTCAGCTTCCTCCCTCATTTGTTTTACTGCTCTCTCTCTCTCTCTCATTCTTTGCCTCCAAATGCAAAATTTTCAAATTGATACTTTTCTCCCTTCTCTATAATTTCAGTCGACTTTATTTTCCTTTATTTCAGAGGAAAGACAAAACCAAGTGCAGTTCCAACTTGACCTCTGCTCCTGGTTTTTAGGGCATTATTAAAAGGTGCATATTATATACCTTGGTGTTATTTATGCTTTCTTTATTGAAATCTTTTATGTTTTAGAAGGGGAAAAAAAACATGCCTTCAAATAAGCAACTAAACACTACAGTATTTATGGAGGATCATCATGTGGTTAAGGATGTAGGTTACTCAATAACAAAAAAAGTGGACTCATAGAGACTTAACTTGTGGTTACCAGTTGGAGAAATAAGATAGGTGTCGGAGGCAAAAACTATTGGGTGCAAGACAGGCTCAAGGATGTACTGTATTAATACAACATGGGGAATACAGTCAGTATTTTGCAATAACAAAATGTAAATAGAAAGTAACCTTTCAAAATTGTGCAACATTTTAATTAATTAAGAGAAATAAAGACTTGCATCTTTAGCTCAAGGACAAAAAAAGAAAAAAAAAAGGATGTGGGTTACTGGGAGAAAATGCCAAGTTGAAGAATTTAACTTTATAAAGAACACCAGTGGGACAAAGCCAGCAAAAATTTATTGGCCCATCACTCATTGCCATAATCATTTATTTATCAAGTCTCTGGAATCTTCTTACAGTATTTCACTATGTAAACATATTTCAGATGATCCAGTGCACTGGTTTAAGGCAAATCTCTTGCAATCTAGACAGAGTAGAAAACACACTATACTATTAAGGTTGGTTTTAAGTGGCCAGTAAATACATTGGGAGATATTTGGAATATGTGAGAAATCTGTAAAAGTGTTATTTTTTTTCTCCTTCTTTATCCTCTGTCAATCTGCATCTCCTTTCTTACTCATTCTCCTACATGCACACAAACTTATGGGATAATCGTCACAGGGAAATACACAATCTTAAGTCAAAAAGTTTTCTACAAAGGGACTCAAGTTGATCTTTCCCACTCTCCACTCCCTCCTCTACCCCTAAGAAAGGCAAAGTTATCCTTGAATTAGGCAGCAAACATACCTTAGAAGCTCGTGTGATGATCTCTACCTTTCGGTGCAAGGCAGTGATACCCTCAGAAAAGACAGATCTGAAGATTATGCACTGGGCACGTTCAGCAAAATTAGGGATCTGGGCTAACTCATGTAAAAATCTGTAAAAATTAAGAATGAATCAGCTGACTTCATATACAGTCACAGAGGAAATAAAATGACAGCAGAAAAAGATTCACCATGAGAGCATTACTTATTTGACAATGTCAGTTGAACCATCATAAAAGGTATCAAATAAGCAAATTCAAGGGATGTGCTCTACTGTGGACAAAAAAGCCACTTTTCAAAATGGGTTTCCATATAACAGCTCCCACCCATCAGAATGGCTATCATCATAAAGCACACAAATAACAAATGTCAACAAGGACATGGAGAAAGGAGAATTCTCGTACACTGTTGGTAGGAATGCAAATTGTTACAGTCACTGGTGAAAACAATAGGGTGGTTTCTCAAAAACCTAAACACAGAATTACCTTATGACCTAGAAATTCCACTCCTGGGTATACATCCAAAAAAACTGAAAATACTAATTTGAAAAAATGCATGCATCCCAATGTTTATACATTATTTACAATACCCAAGATATGGAAGCAACCCAAGTGTCCATTAGTAGATAATGAATGAAGAAGATGTGATATATACATTTTATATATATATATACACACACACACACACACAATGGACAATTACTCAGCCATAAAATGAATGACATTCTGCCATTTGTAACAACATGGATAGTCCTTGAGGGCATATGCTTAGTGAAATAATTCAGACAGAAAAAGACAAATATGTATATTATCATTTATATGTGAAACCTAAAAAATAAGAACATGAAGGTACATAACAAAACGGAAACAAATTCACTGATATGGAAAACAAACTAGAGGATATACTAGTCAGAAAAAGGAAGAGGGAAGGGGCAAGATTGGATAGGGAATAAAAAGATACAATCTACTGAGACTTTCCTGGTGGTCCAAGTGTTAAGATTCTGCTTCCACTGCATGGGGTGTGGATTCTATCCCTGATTGGGGAACTAAGATCCAGCAAGTCAGTGTGGCCAAAAAACCCCCACAAAAGATACAGTCTATTGTGAATAAAATATACAAGCAACAAGGAAACATTGTACTTGTGGTACTTGTTCCCTGGGAAAGAGAATACAGCCATTAATTTGTAATAACTTGAAATGGAGTAAAAATTATAAAAAATATTAATCACTATGCTGTACATCTGAAGCTAATATAACATTGTAAATTGACTTTCTTCTGTGCTTAGTAGCTCAGTTGTGTCCTATTCTTTGCAACCCTGTGGACTGTAGACCTCCAGGCCCCTCTGTCCATGGGGATTCTCCAGGCAAGAACACTGGAGTGGGTTGCCATGCCCTCCTCCAGGGGANCTGACATATTGAGTGCAGCACTTTCACAGCATCATCTTTCAGGATTTGAAATAGCTCAACTGAAATTCCATTACCTCCACTAGCTTTGTTCGTAGTGATGCTTCCTAAGGCCCACTTGGCGCTTCTGTTAGGTCCCTACCATTTTTGTGCTTAATGGAATACTACTCAGCCATAAAAAGAATAAATTTTACAATCTGCATCGTAATGGATGGACTCAAGAGGGTATTATACTATGCTAAGTGAAATAAATCAAAGAAAGACAAATACTATATGATATCACTTATATGTGGAATCCCAAAAATATAACCAAAGCATGAATATAACCAAAAAGATGCAGATTCACAGATACAGAGAACAAACCAGTGGTTACCAGTAGGGGAGGAGCAATATAGGGCTAGGGGAGTGGAAGGTACATACTACTGGGTATAAGACAGGCTCAGAGATACACTTTACAACACAGGGAATGATAGACAATATTTTGTGATAGCTGTAAATGGAAAGTAATCTTTAAAAACTGTATAAAATTTTTAAAAATTAAAAATATATTAATGGCTTTCTATAATGGTGAATAAACGTATGGTGTATAAATTAAGCACAGAAAGTTAATGCAAGTATAGTGAACCACGTCAAGTAATCTATCTCCTGTTTCCCAAATAAGACTAAACCCAAGTGGGGAGCATTAATCTTTACCATCTGAAAAAAAAAAAAAGAAAACAACACAATAGACTCCCTTTATAATGCAGTATTCTCTAATGGTGTATTAACACAGGCTAAGTGAAGCTGAGGCAAATATCTACAGGCAAGCAACTAAAAGAAATCTCTTTCTGAAATGAGATTACTATTATTTTTCTGTTCAATCAATTATAATAGTCATAATGATTCTATTCTACAGGTGTTTACTTTCCACATCAACTTACACAGACAAGAGTTCATAGTTCCATGCATGGAACAAGGCAGGCACTCATTAAGCAAGAACAATCTAAAGTTTCTTAAAAATCACAGCAAGGCAAATCTTAAAAGCCAAAGGTGAGTCCTGACCTACACACAGAAGCTCACTGTCTGAGCAACTGGGCACTGGAGCCCTTTGCAAAATTAAGTTGGAAGAGTTACATATTCTCAAAGCCAACAACCCGAGGAAGGGGCATAAACTAAAATGGATGGAAAGAGTTGGAAATGAATCCAGAAGAGGAGCGAATCCACTAACAGCTATTAAATCCATTCTGGGGTTGAAATGATGATTAACTGATAGTTCTGAAAGTCTTAGTCAAATCGTAACATTAATACCTTGACATTTTGTAACCTCTTACCAAGAATACTTTTACATAGAAGTAAAGCTGCAGCCCCCTTTTTTCCATAACCCCCCAACGTTTCTTAGTTAATACTCTGTGCCTCTTTTAGGGACACTTGGGTTTTAATAATAATTCTAATAATCAGCTGTTTTTCTTATTCATCCTACAACCAGGTCATAATCCTTTTTCTTTTTAATGGCACTGAGATGAAGCAAAGAATGCTCATAAAAGAAAACATACCTTTGTTTTAAGGTTTTATAACTTTTGATTATTATGAAAACCATGTGATGGGATATAAAAACGCAAACCCAAAGGAAATCTGAATCAGAACAAGATGAAAAAATTACACACTATATGTAAATTGCTTCTTTGCTAAAATTAGTTGCAAACCATTGATTCATTTATGACTGAAATCAGGGGTATCACCAGTTTTCACAAATGCAAGCAGTAAAAAGCTTGTGGGCCAGGAGGTATCTGGTCCTGTAAGTGAGTCTTGGGAAGTCTGACATATTCAAATGCTGCTAAGAGATATCTCAAGGGTAGCACCCTGCATTTCTCCCTTTCCAAATGCGATCATGAAAGACTATTCCCAAATTAGGACCTATATTCCAGAGAAGGTACACTTCCTTGTTTAAGGGACACAGTTATTGTTGCACTGATGGTAAGAATATACAGATCAACACCCCAGCTCACCAGCAAGGACTTAGAAGAGAAGAAGGAAATTCTGGATAAACAATCATTTATAACTAGTCTCCAAAAAGGAGGTTTAGGATACAAAGAAGGAGACGAGCCCATAGCCTCAACTAATTTGTGTTACCCAGAAAAAAAAATGAAATAGAACTACAAGATTCCCTGGGCTCAAAGCTTTACTGGAATTAGGGCTGGCACTAGGAAGGCTCTCAGAGAATCTTAAAGACCCAATGTTCTGTGTATGGACAAGGGGCCAAAACACATATCCAGAGTTGAGTCAGGAATGGAATTCAGAAATTTCACATTACTTTTAGATTGAACTCTAGGAAATGTGTCACCAAAAATCCTGTAGCATCAGTCACCAAGAATCTTACTGTTTTCAGATGTGTATGAAGCATTTACGGTGTGTGACCTGAGAACCTGATTTAATTTATACATAATTGCTTCTTGATCACGTGAGAAATAAATCCATAATTACCATGGAGTTTGAGGAGTGATCTTGGTGAGGGGACCTAAAACAGGAGCTACAGATGCAACATGCAGGGCATGGAAGTCAGAGCCCTGGAAGGACCATGTCAGCCCAGGTCTCTGGGAGCCCTCTGGTGCTTGCACAGGTCACGTGTGAGAAACTGCCAGTGAGAGCCTAGACAGGCTGCCTGATATTCACAGGCAAAGGCCAGAAGAAGCTAAAATGGAGCTTCATATTCTAAAACAAAGATTTCAAGCTTTTTCTGAATGAATGAATGGTTTAAAACAGAAGAGGGATACTTTCAGCTTTTTGATTTAGAAAATTGTCCTGGCCAAGGCTTGGATGATTGACTGGAGGTTATAGCGGATCTGAGGCTGGGAGCAGCCAGAATACTCTAATGGGGTAGGTGAGAGGGCCACCAGTGTGGATATACTGGGGCAAATGGTTAGAAAGCAACTGAGGTGGCCAGACCCAGAGGAGCTGACCCATCCCATTAGATACTGAGAGTCCAGGATGATGTGTGGGTTTGGGGCCTGGTCACCTAGCAGAAGGTGAAGATAAGAAATACTAGAGTAGCAAATATGGGAAAAATAAAGACTTGAGGAAAGCACCACTTATCTGAGAAAGTATCAGAAGCATGTGCTGTACTGTGCTTAGTCACTCAGTCGTGTCCGACTCTTTGCGACCCCATGGGTTGTAGCCCACCAGGCTCCTCTGTCCATGGGGATTCTCCAGGCAAGAATAATGGAGTTAGTTGCCACGCTCTCCTCCAGGGGATCTTTCCAACTCAGGGATCAAACCCAGGTCACCTGCATTGCAGGAGGATTCTTTAACATCTGAGCCACCAGGGAAAGTTACCTCAAAGGCTATGTAATGTCTAACATCTTATCCGCTCTCCTCAACTGGGTTTTATACTCTACCCATAAGGGAAGGGATAAGCACTCTTTTACCCATCCCCAAGGAGGGAGCCTTGGGCATTATTAGCTCATGGTACTCATGAATATTTATGGACTGATTTCCTTTAGGACTAGTCTATGCTAGGGCCAGAGAGAGGAAGGACCAAATATCCCCAAAGAGCCACAGACTAGGGACCTTCCTCTTCCGTCCTTAAGGCCGGATGGTCTTGCCAGGGTGGACTGTAACTAGAGCCTGCATACAGGAGAGATTCTGCACCTCACAGAGAATGGGTGACACATGCATGCAGTAACTCAGCTGATAGCAGGAATGACGCAACAGGCCCACTGTTTTCAAGGGTCTAATATTTGGTTAATCATCCCTCGGAGCCCTGAATGATAGCATTTCTGTCTGTGCATGTTGTAACCTATGTTCCTCCACAGAAGAAGATGTTAACAGAGCCTTGTTTCAACAAGTCAATGTGTCTTCATTTGGCGAGGGGTGGGGGCGGGAGGGCAAGGCAGCTATGGGCATAAGTGAAAAGTGAAATTCACTCAGTCTTTTCGATCCCATGTACTACACTGTCCATGGAATTCTCTACGCCAGAATACTGGAGTGGGTAGCCTTTCCCTTCTCCAGGGGATCTTCCCAACCCAGGGATCGAACCCAGGTCTCCCGCATTGCAGGCAGATTCTTTACCAGCTGAGCCACAGGGAAGCCCAAGAATACTGGAGTGGGTAGCTTATCCCTTCTCCAGGGGATCTTCCTGACCCAGGAATCAAACTGGGGTCTCCTGCATTGCAGATGGATTCTTTATCAACTGAGCTATCAGGGAAGCTTGTAAGTAGAGCATGCCAATAGGCTATATATGGTATCCTCACTTCAGGCCAGAAAAAGCACACACCAGGCCTAATCAAACCCAATAGAACCTCCCAGTGCCTCACTACCACCCCAAGCAGAGTGTGAACAGAGTCGAGGACCATCACTGGAGACAGTGGTTCTCAGAGAGCCTAGTCCCAGGCAGATGACAGCTCTACGGGAAATGGCTTTCTACATCTGGCCCCATGGCTCAAGAAAGCTGATGAGGTGAGTGATGAAGCCAGCCTCTCCAGACTTGAATTTATGGGACTGGGCACCACAGGAATCTTAGGAAACTGCAATGTTGAAACTATAAATGATTCATATTTTCCAGTATGTAAAACATGCTTATAGTCAACTCACTTGGACCTAATGGCAAGTAAGTGGCCAAAAAATCAGACTCTGGCATGAATCAAACAAATGCTGCTGAGTCCAAACACATCACCAAGACAATATGACCATCTTCTTTGCTGTCAGTAAGAGCTTAGCATGTTAAGGAAACCATTATAATGACCACTTACAAATTTTAAAAATGCCCTTCATCTGCGTCTCTATTTCTGCCTTGGAAATAGGTTCATCTGTACCATTTTTTCTAGATTCCACATGTGTGTGTTGATATATTTGCTTTTCTCTTTCAGACTTACATCACTCTGGGTGACAATATTACAATAAAAATTTTTTAATAAATTAAAATAATAAAAATGCTCTTCTATTCAAACCCTCAGTGGAGAAAGCAAGAACAAGAATTTTGTTAATTACCTGCTACCATTACTTTGTCTTGGCAATTAATCTTGTAAAATAATACCAAAAAGGCATTAACACAGAAGGGAAATGGGACCCCTTCCAGGAGCAGGGACCCACTGTTCATTCACCAGTTTGGCCATTCCCATAGCTTAGAGAAGGGGTTGGTGAATTATAAACCCCAGGCCAAATTCAGCCCATCACTTGTTTTTGTATGGTCCATCAGCTAAGAATGGTTTTCACATTTTAAAATGGTTGAGAAAAAGTCAACAGATGATATTTTATGACGTGTAAAAATGATATGAAATTCAAATTTCAGCATCCATAAATAAAATGTTATTGGTGCACGGGCACGTCCATTATCTGTGGCTGCTTCTAGACTACAACAGTCAACTTGAATAGTTCCAACAGACTGTAATGGCCCACCAAGCCTAAAGTACTTACTGCCAGGTCCTTTACAGGTAAAGTTTTCCAACTTTGAGCTTAGAAGATCATTGCTTAATGTGGTACAGTTAGCACTACCCAAATGCTTAACCACATGATGCAAACAGCCAACTCAGTGGAAAAGACCCTGACGCTGGGAAAGATTGAAGGCAAAAGGAGAAGGGGGTGGCAGAGGATGAGACAGTTAAATAGCATCACCGACTCAATGCACATGAATCTGAGCAAACTCTGGGAGATAATGGAGGACACAGGAGACTGGCATGCTGTAGTCCATAGGGTCACAGAGTTGGACATGACTTAGCAACTGAATAACAACAACAAATGTTTGATGTGCCCTATTGTCCCCACTAAGGACTGAATGTTTGTGCCCCCCCAAATCCATATGTTGAAATCCTGACCCTCAATGTGACAGTATTAAGGAGTAGGGCCTTTGGGCAGTAAAGAGGCTATGAAGGTTAATCCCTCTTGAGTGGGGTTAGTGCCCTGCAGAAAAGAGACGCAAGAGCTTCTTTCCTCTCTCTGCTCTCTGCCATGTGAAGATATAAAGAGATGTTGGCAGTCCACAGCATGCAAGAGCATTCTCACTAGAACCCAGCCATGGCTGCAGCTGGACCTCAGACTTCTCGCTTCAGCAACTGTGAGATATACATTTTTGCTGTTGGTAAGTCACCCAGTTGAAGGTACTTTGTTATAGCTAAGTGAGTCCTGAAATATTTCCATAGCCTTGTATCTAAATATCCATTATTAGTCTTTTCATTTTCGGTCATTAGCACCTTAGTGGAAATTAACTGATTATATGAGAAAGCATGACTTGGGACTGACCATGCACATGATGGGTCAGGGGTAGGGTTGGTAAGGACGGGGACTTAGGGTGATGGATCTGAAGGGCAGGGGAGCCCAATGAGTCACAAAATTCCGAGGCTTCATGAACTGACTTTGGGTGTGTTTTGGGGGGAGAGTCCTGGCATATGATCCACATGAGAGCTGATCACTGAAGTGTCCCCAAATTACCATAAAGGTTTGTCAGTAACTAAGTAAACCTAAAAATCCCCCACCCAGTCACTGGGAGATGATTTTTGGACCTTAGTATCCAAAGGAAGTGGGGCATTTTAGAGGAACCAAGGGCAAGGTATGAAGGTTTCAGGACAAGCCATTCACCTTTGGATATCTCTGGGGCTGACTTATAACCCTGGTGGTGGTTTAATCATTAAGTCATGTCCAACTCTTTGTGACCCCATGGACTGTAGCCCACCAGGCTCCTCTGTCCACAGGATTTCCCAGCAAGAATACTGGAGTGGGTTGCCATTTCTTTCTCCAGGGGATCTTCCCCAGCCAGAGATCGAACCTGGGTCTCCTGCATCACAGGTGGATTTTTTTACCAACTGAGCCACCAGGGAAGTCCTCCTTACTCTAACCTTGATCACTTTCCTGTTTCCTATCCCTCCCCTTGTCTCCAAGCTGAGGAGGGTACCCTGCCTTCGGCAGGAAGCAGTCAAAGGAGCAACAGGCAAAGGAGCCCTCTGTCCACTCAGGACCCAGCCCACATTCTCAGAGTCCAAGGTGGAACCTGAGCGGCTGAGATTCCAAGAGCCCAGCAAAGAACAAGAGTGTGTGGAACACCCCAAACTAGAGAGCAGACAACTCTAAACAGTGACTGGAGAGCAGCATAAGCATGTGCAAATGAAGGATGAAAAGTCACATCGAAATTGGGCAGAGCAGGTGGAGAGTGTGGGGAGAAAGCTGGCACAGGCAGGCAACATTTACTGGATACGATACTTAGGAAAATCAATTTGAATCCTGTGACTCTGACATCGTCTCTTTCAATTGCATCAGCAGAACCTTAAACGGAGCAGTAACTTCTTCCTTCCTCAGTTACCCTTTTGGCCAGAATGTTTAGTCTAGGAGGAATTAACGATTTGCTAGGACAAGAAAAGGGGAGTCACGAGGGGTGGGGTGAGGGCTTGAGACATGCTACCCAGCAGCACAAATCTCCCAGCTGCCTTTCCCGGCAGTCAGGTCATCCTGCTGCATGCAATAGGTCACGGGATTGTGTTTTGGGGGGAGAGTCCTGGCATATGATCCACATGAGAGCTGATCACTGAAGTGTCCCCAAATTACCATAAAGGTTTGTCAGTAACTAAGTAAACCTAAAAATCCCCCACCCAGTCACTGGGAGATGATTTTTGGACCTTAGTATCCAAAGGAAGTGGGGCATTTTAGAGGAACCAAGGGCAAGGTATGAAGGTTTCAGGACAAGCCATTCACCTTTGGATATCTCTGGGGCTGACTTATAACCCTGGTGGTGGTTTAATCATTAAGTCATGTCCAACTCTTTGTGACCCCATGGACTGTAGCCCACCAGGCTCCTCTGTCCACAGGATTTCCCAGCAAGAATACTGGAGTGGGTTGCCATTTCTTTCTCCAGGGGATCTTCCCCAGCCAGAGATCGAACCTGGGTCTCCTGCATCACAGGTGGATTTTTTTACCAACTGAGCCACCAGGGAAGTCCTCCTTACTCTAACCTTGATCACTTTCCTGTTTCCTATCCCTCCCCTTGTCTCCAAGCTGAGGAGGGTACCCTGCCTTCGGCAGGAAGCAGTCAAAGGAGCAACAGGCAAAGGAGCCCTCTGTCCACTCAGGACCCAGCCCACATTCTCAGAGTCCAAGGTGGAACCTGAGCGGCTGAGATTCCAAGAGCCCAGCAAAGAACAAGAGTGTGTGGAACACCCCAAACTAGAGAGCAGACAACTCTAAACAGTGACTGGAGAGCAGCATAAGCATGTGCAAATGAAGGATGAAAAGTCACATCGAAATTGGGCAGAGCAGGTGGAGAGTGTGGGGAGAAAGCTGGCACAGGCAGGCAACATTTACTGGATACGATACTTAGGAAAATCAATTTGAATCCTGTGACTCTGACATCGTCTCTTTCAATTGCATCAGCAGAACCTTAAACGGAGCAGTAACTTCTTCCTTCCTCAGTTACCCTTTTGGCCAGAATGTTTAGTCTAGGAGGAATTAACGATTTGCTAGGACAAGAAAAGGGGAGTCACGAGGGGTGGGGTGAGGGCTTGAGACATGCTACCCAGCAGCACAAATCTCCCAGCTGCCTTTCCCGGCAGTCAGGTCATCCTGCTGCATGCAATAGGTCACGGGAGTGACGCTGCTGTGACTGAGCTTGGCACAGCTTAGATGTGGTTACTCGGAGCTGGAGGCAGGAAGATAGGGAAGGCCCTTCTCCCTTTATTAACAGAAAAGTGTTCAAGCATCCTTACTGTTCAGGCTTATCCAGCAGCTTCAATTCTTCCTCCTTGGATGTCTCATAATACTTTCTTATTTTAACGAGTTCATCCTCTTGGGCTCTCTGTGTTGAAACAGAAGCAAAACACACACACAAAAATAAGCAATGAGAATCTGTCCAAAGCAATATGTCTCAAAGTATGGTCTCTGGACCATCAGCATCACCTGTCACTAATTAGAAACGCCAATTGCAATTGTTGGCCCTATCTTGGGTGTAGGGCTTCCCAGGTGGTTCGGTGGTTTAAAAAAAAAAATCTGCCTGCCAATGCTGGAGATGCAGGTTCAATCCCTGGGTTAGGAAGATCCCCTGGAAGAGGAGATGGCAACCTACTCCCAGTATTCTTGCCTGAAGAATCCCATGGACAGAGGAGCCTGGTGGGCTACAGTCCACGGGGTCTCAAGGAGTCGGACGTGACTTAGCGCAACTGAGCACGCCCTGGACATACTTTATGCCAGAAGCAGAGCCAACGCTCTAAGAGTGGGGTTCAGAGAGCCCTCCAAGCGATTCTCAGGCATGCTAATGTTTGAGAATCACTGGCTAAAACCCAACGGTCATATGAGTTACCTGAGCTGGATATACAAGCCAGGAATTTGACTGCTACTTTAAATCCCTGGTGTCTTTCCCTGTAAGATCGGATATGGGTCAAGTTTTCCTTAGCATGTGTTTCCTCATCCTCAAAATAGCCCTCCTAACTTACATAGGGTCCTGATTTTTAAATTTCTGGTCAGCAGGTTCTCTCTGAATTTTCTATGTATTTGCTGTTTGCACTACTTACTTTGGCATTTGGTCTCATACTTTCTCAATTTATCCACCTCTGTCAGTTATATGCAGCTTACTGCTGCTGTAAGCTAACAAGTACCCACCACGCACACAGTCCCAAGCCTGATGTAACAACTAAAAGCCCCTAGAAGGCATTTTGCCTTTTACGAAGTCCTCCAACATCAAGCATTGCATCCTTGTTTTATAGGTGACTCCACCAAGGCTTAGACTAACTACCTGGTAAAGAGATTGACGTGAAGCATCTTTCTTTCACAATTCCATGCTGCCCTCTAGGTATTCCACACATGTGCCAGGATGGCCTAGGATTCGTGCATCTTCTTATCTATTAATGAAAGCCTTCCTAATAGAAACATGGGGCACTCCCACCCATCATATTATATTAATACTAAACAGTTCCTGATATACACAAAGGATGTAAAAATGTGAAGGGAATTGGAAATCCTGCTAGACTGGATTATCACGCTATGGAAATTTTCTGTGAGAGGTTTAAAGTCCCTGGGAACCGAAGTATTGAATTATTTTTTGAGCTTGGTAACCAAAGCATGCTATAGAGCTCTGGGAAATAGCATTATTCAGTAAAGAGAATCTGGTTCAATCTATATATTCAAATCTAACAGAGTCAGTGAACCAGAGCAGTTAACAATTATGGGAACTGGGACTCTCCTGTGTCATGTTCTCAAGAAAGCCAGTCAATTACTCTGGTTATTTACACATATAATCCACATTTAAAGACCATATATGTATACAGTGCTGCTCATTTTCAAAATACATTGCTATTGCTATATATATTGAGCTCTATTTTAATAGTCACAGAAATCATGTAGAGCCTATTATAATCCCCATTATACTGAGGATCAAACAGGTTGAGGAGTTTAATTGACCCAAGGCCACTCAGTTGTCCATGACAGAGCCTGATCTCAAACCTGAATGTCTCTCTCTAAATCCAAAACACACACTCACCATCCGATACTATTTCCTACATTCAATGCCATCAGCTTACTTGGACTAAAAGTAATCATCCAAGCTGGAGACAGTGTCCCCATTCCTCAGAAGATGACACTGGTTATATACCAATATTAAGCTGCTAGCATAGCTTCATTCACTCTGATTGAAAACCACAGGGCTGCATTCTATGGCACAGACATGGCCTCCCCATTGAACCGCCCTCCCCTGTAAAAGAAATCTACTAACCCAGATACCACAGTGTGGGGGAGGGATGTCAAGAAGCTAGTGTTTCCTCATGTTCACTCTCATTTGAGCTTGCTTTTCTGTACCCTACTCTCCTCCACGCAATGTCAAAATTCCCACCGCCAAAGAACATGAATGGATCAGTGATTCTCTGGGTGGGAAGAGTCACATACAATGATTTTTTAGACATTAACATATTTTTTTTTTAAAGTTAGTTAAGATACAAAAATCTGAAAACTCTGATACTCACATTTTCATATAAGGCTGCCAGGGTTTCCAGATCAACCACAGAATCGTCCACGTTAAAAATGGCTGCCGAGTACCCAAAGAGAAAGAGCAAGGATAAGAGGTTAGGCCAGACTCTGCCGCACTAACATTTACTCCACGTGCAGCTACCAAGCAATGCAAACGCTTGCTCTCGCTTACCCAGGTTGTCTTCTGACATGCTCTTGCCCCTTTTCCTTCTGCATCAGGGGGGGCCCGTGAAAGAAACCAAAATGGTTCTGGTTGCTGGCCTAAGCCTTAGCCCTGCCTGCTTTCATTCCTCAAGCTCTGCATCCTTTCTGCAGTTTAATTTAGGCTCCGCAGGAGAAGTGTTTGTGTTTTAAATCTAAATCAGTTAGGAGGTTTGAAACACAATTTTAAATCTTTCTTCCCGGCTGGTAATTGAAGAGATTTAATACCTAATGCACCAGAACTGACGCTTGCCCATTACCAGGAAGAGGGAGAGAAAAAAGACGATGTTGGCAAATTAAATGAATTCAGGCATGTGATTTCAGGCACCTTTCCATGGCTGCTGCAAACATCTTGTTTGGATTAAAAAGACAAGAAAAAGCAATAATTGCATCAATGGCAAATTAAGATTATGGAAACCTCCCATGAGCAAGTCTTAAGGCAAGTTCTCGTTCCCATGGTTTTATTTGGATCCTACTTGTTGTTCTATATCTTAAATAAGTCATTTAGCTGTTAACTAACATGCCCGTGATTTCATCTAAAGAGATTCCTTCCCATATATACCAGCGTACAAACATGGAGATTTTAAAGCCTTAATGGATTTGGCAATCAACGTGCTTGAAATAGGCAGCCTCACATCTTTAAATAATTATGCAAAACTAATAAGGTTTGTTCCCTCAACCCCACCACCCTTCTCTGACTTTACATTGTGAAATTAACCAGCACGCTAGTAAATTTTCTCCGTGGCAGGCTAATTAATTTTATTAAACCAACCAGTGATATTTAGAATGCCTTAAAATTCTGCTCGTCAACCATTACTCCCTTGGTTGGCATTACACCATGGTTTTGGAGAAGGTGGGGATCAAGGTAAAGGGCAGGTTGCTTTCAAATCGTTTTGCTTCTTCTGTGGTTTAGAATTATATGAACCCCTTCATACAATTTTAATAAACTTAATTAACTGAGCTAAGATCATGTACCTTCACAGAATACTGAGAAATGTACTTAAAATTCCTTCATGGGGCACCTTCTCTAACTCAGGAGTTAATCAGCAAGCTGTTCCTCAACTACATGGAGTAGTGAGAAAAGAAGCGATTAATATGCGAGTGACAAAGTCAGTCATCTCAGATTCCACCCGGACAAAGGAAAATTACACTTCTGAAGAGGCCAATCTAAAACCACAAAAGAAAAATGTCCTTTGAGGAAAGAAGGAAAGAATTTACCCTCCCAGGACTGTTATACTATGCATGCTGATAAGATGATTTCACTAACTTATTAGAAGGACCAGGCATTTTTAAATGTCTGATGCTTTAAGGAAACAAAAAAGAGCCAGGAACAATGTCTATTTTATGTAAATGCTAATTGTCTCCTATAAAAATCAGCCAATGAAAATGCAGTAAGACAAGGCAAAATTCTAAAAATAATTTATCAGAGATGTTCATTTCTAAACCAGGTACTACATATAACTACAAGTTTACATATAATCAAGTGATCTTAACTAATGGGAAAGAGAAGGAACTGTTGGCTTCCTTTCCTGGTGAGTAAATATTTGAGTTTCAGAAGTTAATCAGTCTGGGTCCCAGATATACAATTTGATGGGTTATATCCTCAGCCAATTCCCCTCCAGTGTGCTAGGAAAACACATAGGGAGGATGGGACTGCAGAACGAGCGTGGGCTCTGGCGACATTTATTCATTCATTCACCCAGCCCTTGAATAAATATTTGTTGGATGTGCACCAAGTTCTAGAAACTGTTCTAAAATGCTGTGATTATATAAATCAAACATGTCTAAGACATTTAAGGTACTTGGTCTCATGAGACTTATACTCCAGCTTAGGGGATAGAAAATAAACAAGTAAATAGTTACAGATAATGATGTAAAGAAAGAGCAGAGCTGTAAGCAACCTTAGAGAGGCTGATGGATGAAGGCTTCTTTGAAGAGGTGGCATTTAAGCTAAGAGCTGAGCAGGTCAAGTTCTGTGAGTGTCTGGGACAAGAGCCTTCCAGTGAGTGGTAAGGGCAGAAAGAGGTTTCTTATCCTGATGAAGGAATAAGCTCAAGATTCAGAAAAAGACCAAGATGACTATTATGGATGGAAGCAAAACTTACTGCATGATCCTGGCACGTTCAGTTCTATTAGGTTCAGCATACTGACTCCAGTATTCTTGCCTGTGAAATCCCATGGACAGAGAAGCCCGGTGGGCTACAATCCATGGGGTCCCACGGAGCTGGGTATAACTGAGCACACACACACACATTTTTATGGTGTGTGTCTTTTTTCTTTTTGTGAACATTTTAACACGATATGTGTTCTCTCGCGCTCTCATAGCGTTTTTTGAGATCTCAACAGTGTCTCTAAATAGTGACTATTGTGATGTTAAATATACACACTGTGTACGTGTTTTAATGCTTGTTAATGCCTTATCTGCTTTAACATCTGGAAAGAATTAGAGAAAGAAGACTACCACTTTCTATGTTACTTGAATGTTTCCAGTAGGAGCAGTTGCTATTTAAACCCTTTTGGTCCTTTAAAACCCCACTCAAGGCCCACCTTCAGGAAGTGTTAATAGAAAAGGTATATGCACGAATAACTCTAATAATGAAAAATAACGTATTGAACAGCTTAAGGGAAATATAAGATAACTTTGGGTCCGTCTGGGCTTCCCCGGTGGCTCAGACAGAAAAGAAATGACCTGCAGTGTGGGAGACCTTGGTTTGACCCCTGGGTTGGGAAGATCCCCTGGAGAAGGGAATGGGTACCCACTCCAGTGTCCTTGCCTGGAGAATCCCATGGACAGAGGAGCGTGGAGGGCTACGGTCCAGGGGGCTGACCAAGAGTTGGACATGACTGAGTGACTAACACTGTTACTTTTCGGGTCTATTTAGAAAGCTAATCTAATCTTAACTTCTCATTTCCATCTTTCCCATCAAAGCACTATTCTTCGTAACACCCAAGTTTTTTTGTGTGTTTTTTTTTTAAATCAAAATTTTACTTTGATGTTTGAAATACCTCAGATGTCTTTCCTTTAAACATTGGGTGAAGTCCAACTGCCTACGCCTGAGTTTTAAATCCATTCCTTTCCTGGCCCTCAGTGATACTTCCAATTTCATCCTTTACCGTTTCCACTGTTCCCAGGCCCCCTGAGCTCCAGCCACACACCTCTCTACTCCTGAACATTCCATGGTTTTCTCCCTTCCTGCCCCCTCAGCCTCCTGGGCCTTGGTGAGCAGTTTCCTGCCCTGGAAGGATGCTCCTTGACCTTTGGATCATTAAGCACTCATTCTTTACCTCTTCCATGGCACCACTCATATTTTATATTGGGTGAAAGAGTCTATTTTAAGAAGCCGCATGAGTAAGTTGCTTAACACTGTATCGTGGAAGGCCTGTAGTCAGGGATCATTCTACACACCTTGATAATCCCAGCATCCAGCATAGTACTAGGGTTAGTAACAGGAATAAGATAAATGTCTAAGGATAAGACAGGTGTCCCAGGAATCCCAAAGAGTGAGTCTTGCTGCTGGGTGTCAGCAAAAGTTCCTTGACAAAGACAGCATGGTGTTTTGAAAAAGAAAAACACAGACTTTTAAAAGGGATAGGACTGATGAATAAAAATAATATAATATGCATATCTGAATTAAGGTTGTTTGCCCACCCTTGTTTGTTGTCCTTTAAAAAATAAAAGTATGGTGAGTAAAGCTGCACAATCATGTCCCATCCATATCCTCAGTACAATACAACGCTGGCCCGAATACTCCATACTTCAAAATCACTATATTTAACAAGCAAATCTTCTCATTTTAAAGGAAAGAATAAGGAAACTATCTTTCCTCTCATTCTTAACCTTCAGAGATGTTTTAAACAGTGGTATCACCACAGGCAAAAAGCCATGAGTAGAAATTCAACTGTTACACTGCTTCAGGCAGACACCTAAAGCACCCATTTATTAATCACCATGAATCAAGCCAAGTCCATTCCAAGCAGTAACAATCTGTAAATGGACAAGTGCCAGCAAATGTCAATGGGAAAGATGTGAGAGACTCCCAGGATGAAGCAGCAGACACATACAGGCTCAGAGAACACACAGGCAATGGTGGAGAGTCCAAGTCTGGCTTGAAGAGAGTATTCCTTACATACAGTTTGGAGCGAGGTCCTGTGGAATCCTGAAGGCCAAGGGGAAGAGTCTGTGCTACATCGCAGGGGGCCATGAGCACAGACGAGCAGGTGAGGCAGTGGGACAGAGTTCTATTACATAGGATAGAGCAAAATTTGGAAAGGATGGTTTAGAACTTAGTTCAGCACAGCAGAGGTAGTGAAAGCCAGAGTGCTGTGGACAGAAAGGACAGAACAGGAGAGAAAGACGGCAGAGCTCTGCGGAGTGCCGTCATCACCTGAGCCCAGGGACTAAGCAAGTCTCGTGTCTGATCAGCCCGAGGTTTCCCATCCAGGTGTGGAGGGAGGGCTTGGGACACCACGAAACAGGCAGAGGAGCTGACCAGGTGGATATGCCTGATGCCGTCCCCTTAGGACCTGGGCGAGGAGTCGGGGAGAGGAAGAAGTCGATGGAGAGGTTAATTTAGGGCCAATGCCGAGTATTCTGCGGAGGTGTCTCCTCTTCCACGTGAGGAGCTTAAAACTGAAAAAGTAAAATAAAGTTCAGAGGTGGAAGCAGCACTGAAACGAGATCATCTGGCTGAGCCCAGGAACTTAAGAAATTAAACACTTTCTATCATTTCTATTTTACAGGGTGGCCAGGGAAGGTTAGGCTATTGGCCAAATGGGTGAAAAGTAAAAAGTCAAAGTCCAGTGACTCATAGGAGAGTTGTCTTGCATGTACATAGTCCTGCCTTTTATTTACCATGA